CACGCTTGACTTTTGAACATCCGGTTACAATCATTGCAGTGAACCCAAGACTCGATGGGACAGTCGGGAAAACGACAACATTTACAGGCATTCGGGCATAGGTGATCTTCTCGATGATCATAAGCTTTCTTGCATGTATGGCAATACTTTTTACGAGCGAAAAACCCCGGCATTTTGGTAATAACGTCGTAATGATTATCGTGAAGATAGAGATAAATTCTCTTCTCCTGATCGGGGCCAGTATAAATAAGAGCGTTCTGATGATCTTTGGACACAATATTGATCTGGTAATTGGAAAGGTACGTCTGAAACTGTTTGACTTCATCCAAACCGCAAGGACCCAAAGGAACGGCAGCATTCTGGTGTAATTCACGAGCCAAACGGGTTTGAAGTGGTCTCTCAGGGTTTCGTATTTGACGATCCCGACTATCATTCTCAATTTTTGCTTTCGCAACGACCAAAGCCCTCGCCAAACAAATTTGATCATTGTTCTGAATCCGTATGATTGAGCGTTTCTTCATTAAATGCGTCTCCAAATTAATCTCAGCTCGCTTCGTACCTGTACCACCATGGGGCATTTCCACATGAACAACATTAACATCCACACTATCGTCGAGATGAAAATGGCGATTGGACTGGATCACGCGTTCAAACTCTGCCAACACACGTTCTGTAGTGAGACGTTCACGAGGCATGAACGGAAATGAAATAGGATTTTCCAGTTGCGATGAGTGTAGGACGAAACCTACCTGGTCATGGGGAGGAACGCCGTGCGTAACTTCATTAAGCAAGCCCTGAAATATTTCATGCAGCCTTTCATGATATTCGGAAAGCTCCACATTCGCAAATGCATTCGTAAATTGAATACGATAATCCATACCCGTGGTTTTAATTAAACTTTTTCACATTCACTTGTTTCACACTCTGCACCGTAAAAACGTTGTCGCTAACCTCGTTCCCTTCTTGTCCCGATTCATTATCAACGTCGCTCGTGTCTTCAAAAGATCTTTTCTGTCCGCGACCGACTTGTGGTTCATCGCTACTCGTCCCTTCACAAGATCTTTTCTGTCCGCGACCGACTTGTGGTTCATCATCATCGCTGCTCATCGCACAAAATGATCTTTTCTCACCTCGATTAATCTGCATCGGAAGCTCTTCATCTTGCCAATCGCGTTAAAACCTCTCGCGTTGCTCGGGCGTCCAGGTATCTGTAAGATCCGGTACTAGTCCTAACCGTGCGTTTTCCAAACGCCATTCCTTTATCCGCAGAAAAATCTCCATTCTCTTCTCAAACACTAAACATTCTTCCAGTTCGTTGAATACGTTTTGACTTTCCAAAGCCAAAAGCTCCGCTATCGTCTGACATTCTTTAATCTTTCTTTCCATATCTAAACCAAAAAACGATTCCCTCAAACAAAATTATTACACAAATACCCTTTAAGTAAATATAAACATTTACCTGGAAAACAAGCTAGTTGTCAAATAAAATATCCACCAAAGCTCTTTCGATGTAAACAGTATATTTAAAGTAACTTCCCTAAGTGAAAACTATGAGCACAATAACGATAATCGCCCGTCTCCTCTATTTATACTATCCATCCAACACAGCTAACCAATCAGGGATGTGCATGATTATGACGTAATTGGTGTACGTACACCGTGTACGTACACCTAATTTATATTCGTACGCATCAACCAATCAGAGATGGACATGACGTAGTGGTGTACGTACACCGTGTACGTACACCATACTATATAAAGCAAATCATTGCTATACACAGTCAAAATGAACTCGTGTGAGCAAGTATTCTGGGCAAAGTGTCTGAATGTAGACGAAGTTGTGCCTTGGGAAATCAGAAATCTGTGTAATCTAATGAATGCTATCTTTTCGGAAGCCGTTGACTGTCAAGTCCATAAACTTCGAAAAGAAAAATGCTGCGGTTGTGAAGTAAATCATCAAAGTCAGAAAAGACATGATTGCCTCATGATGTCCGAAGAAGAGGGATGGCTAATGCATGGATCGGAAGCAGTAAAGCGAGTGATCGAACATCAAACGGTTTCGAAAAAATTCACTGAAGTTATACGCGTTATGAAATTAGACACTCATGAACATGTCATTCAACATTTCAAAAATCTAACCAAAGACCCCGAAACAACCGCCGAATTCCTAAAAGACTTGAAGTTTAAGTCAGACTTTCCTGAATATCAAGCCATTTTGGGATATCTCAGCTACTGGAGCGCAGAACATTAAACGGTTCATAGTTTAAAAACATTATATTTTTAAAAATTGTTTATTAACTAAAAGTATATTTTACAAATTATTAAAATGTTCTCGAAGTTTATCTTTGAGATAGTTCTGATATGCCTTTTGTTCATCTTGTTCCTTGCTCCGGAACTTTTCCCCCTTTCCTCTAACATAATATATAAAGGTAGGGGGACTGCCGAAGAGGCGCTCTGCAACAGGTTCCAGTGGATCTGCTTTAGGATCAGACAAATCGCACAGGACTTCGATTAATGCCTGGTTGTCTTGGTATTCTTGAAATAATGATTCAATCAGCATAAGATCAGGGTTTTCTTCCAAGCTCAACAAGTGTTCCGTGAAATATTTTTCAAACGGAACATTAAGGATTTCAATAACATTAGTAAATTCACGCCAGGCGGCGTAACTAGTTCCGGCTTCCTCTATAGCATCAAGACCATACATCTCCCATTTTTCAAACTCATCCAACATTAAGCAGTCCTGGTCACGAACTTTACACCCGCAACAAAACAGGCCAAATTTCCTTTCAATGTTATGTGCAATGATCTTGGCGTATATTATTTCTATCAGACGAAGTTTCTTGTTTGAACCGTTCATTATGAAAACCAATGTGTAAATGAACTTGTACTACTCACCGATTCAAATATACCCCCATGTTTTCACCAATACATTTCGCTCCTGCATACTCATTACTTCCGCCGCTCTATTCGCTCCTGCATACTCATTACTTTCGACACTCCTGCATACTAATTACTTCCGGTGCTCTACTCGCTCCTGCATACTAATTACTTCCGATCCTATACGGGGGGGTAATACTACTCCAGTCAATAAAAAACCCTTTATTTATGGTAGAATAAACAGTTTTAAGACCTTTTAAGCAAGTGGCGGACACATTATAAAATATGAGGGGGGGCTCGGAAAATTTTTTAATTTGAATCCCGGAAATAGCATTTGCAGCATTGTGAGACACGCATAATCAGAAAACCCAGAATTCCGGGCGCCATAGTATGCCTGTTCGCAGGTAGTGCTGTGAATAATATAGTTAGCAACAAAAATCATGACCAAAGACACCAAAAACGGATTTAAAAAACATTGTATTGTATTTTAAAATACTCAAAACGCAGAAAAATTGGGAATCGACTCGCATTATCTCAATCCCATTCCCCTTTTTGAGGACTTCATTTCCCATTCCCAGTGGCCAAATCCCAGTCCCAGCAACCCAAATCCCATTTTCCCAGTCTAAAAATAGATCAATCCCAGTTCCCATTTTACCCCTTCAGGGCCGTCTTTTGTCCGCCATATTTACATATGCGTTCTATTTTGTATCCAAATTCAGTGTCGGGCCGTATATGCAGGAACAAGAACACGCGATTAAATATTCGACTCGCAATCCGTATAAAGATTAATAATGTGCATTTAAGAATACAATATTATATTATTGAAAAAAATACTATGAAACTGCTATATGCGTGAGATTTACTAAACGTGGCGTTAGGGCGTGAGAGTGAAGCGAATTGCGTGAGACTCACGCCGAATGCGTGAGAGTTGAGAGGTCTGAAGTTGGCTCACCTTGCCCAAAAACAAAGCTTTACATATTCAAGCAACATACAAGAATCACACAACATCAGTAATTAACACTTTAAATAAATCGCAATCAGCTCATCGCTTTGAAACACGTTAATTACGTACTGCAATTAATTACGTTAACTAGAAAATACATGCATGCAGAAACCCTCGCCTTGCTGACAAAACCATTGTATTTTCCGAACATGAAGTTCTAAAGTAGTTGTCATGGTAACACGATAATTCTTTAAGAATATTGTTACAAATGAAAAATCGCCTAAAAATATCACTTTTAATTACAAAATTATTAATTTCCCAACATATATATGTTAGGTATGTTATTATACGTTATATAACTATATAAGCCTCAATATAAGGTAAAATTCAACCACAAACGCTCCGCAAAACGTTTTAAAGTGCTGTTTAACTAAACTGCCTTTAATTAAATGGCTTTATCGATAAATTTGAGTTTGCAATAAAATGATTTCAAATTCTCGCTTGCAAATAACATTGCTTTCTTTTTTATCTAAAAAAATCAATATCATAAAAAAGGGAACCAATATTAAAGATACACTGAAATTATATGCTGTCTTGTTTAGTTGTTTCATATACGCAAACGCCGTCAGGTTTTAAAGCCATTATAAAACCAATATTTAAAACAAACTTACCTTCGTTAACGTCGGCTCCCTTCTTTTAGCCAATTCTTTCGAAGTTTTTTCCTGAGAGAGCTTTTGAAATTTACAAAATATTGCAAAAATGCGAGTAAAAATGAAATATATTCGCAAGAAATTTATCAATCATGAATCATCAAATCAAGAAATGTTTGCTATTTCGCTGTCGTCATGCAGTCGTTATAATGCAAACTTTAAATTGGACCAATCAGTGTCCGCTATTTATGACAGTCCGCCATATTTTTGAGGTCAGTGAGGATGACCACCCACCCACCTAACACCGTTGGTGACCCACGCCCGCGATATTTGATGAACTTTAGACTCCGCTAATGCTTTCGTTTCCCCGGGTGTAAATAGCCGGGGGGAATTAGTACCCTCGCACGGCGCTTCGCGCCGTCGGCTCGGGGATTATATTCTGCTCTGATACATCCAGAAAGCAAAAAAAGAAAGCGGTATCCCAGTTCTGTCAGAGTTGAACCAACAATTCCCAAGCCATTGTGCAGCCCTAGTAAGTAAAATCGAACGGTAAATATCCCAAAGCGGGCAATGCAACAAATAATGTTCAGTAGTTTTGTATTGTATATTTGTTTTGCCCACAAAAATATTTACAAAGTAATTTAGAATATTTACAATAGTATATATGAGGGCCAGGAACCTGTGGAAATCCTGTTGGACTTTTAGATAAGGCCCCTAGTTTTGAAAAATCAATTACAAGTAACAACTACTAAAAATGTTGACAAATAAGGCAGTATATACTAGAAATACATGCTTTCAGTGACCCCTCGCCAATATTTTCCAAAAATTAAACTAAAATGAAGTATTCAGAAATGGCTCACTGAATGCAGGCTCGCGCTCAAGTGTTGCCATGACAACACTATATTCTTAAATTTTTAATTTTTTCATATTTTTTTTACCAAACTGCAAAACAGTTGAAAGATTCGTACTTTTAACTGTACAACAATAAATTTCCGAAATATATACTGTAGGTATATTATTTTGCATTTTGTAAGCTTTGATTTAATGTAAAATTTAACTTGAAACGCTTCGTAAAATGTTTTGAAATCTTCATTCAACTATAGTTCATTTGCCGATAAAGTATAATAAAACATAATAAGTTACAAATAAAACAAATTGTTAGATAATTTCAGTTCAGTCTTTAAATCAATTTGTTTGTTCTCCTTTACATTATAAGATTTTTCCT